TTCACCAGTCAAGGACTTTCTTTTCTCCCTACAGTTAAGAGTTATGCAATTTGGGAGTCTTTTAGATAGACCCACTGAAGGGGTACCCCAATTGCATCACCCTGCATCCCTGTTCAGCATAGAAGCCAGAGCAGTCTGCATCCCAATTCACCATCAGCAGTTTGGGTAACTTCTTCAGAGGACAGTGTGATAAGAATAAACAGCAACCTAAAATTTTTATAACCACTTTTGAAAGAGATGTATCTTTGCTCTGGAAACTGTTATTGAGTATATTAAAGGTGTAATGAAATGCTTCTTCTAAAAAATGTTTAAAATATTAAAAAAAAAGAATAAGAGGTAGAAATTATAGGAGGTAGGAATTGGCTAGGCAGTTAGGGTCAAAAGTCCCCAAAGAAAATAACCAGTTTGTTGGCTAAAAGTCAAAATGTCCTTGGACCTCTTAGCAACATACTCTGTTCCAAAGGCCCAAAGTGTTAAAGTATTTGGGAGCTTGTATCTAATCCTTAAAAGATTTTAGGGGTACCTCTTCAGAGGGGGGGATTTTAGAGTAGCCAAAAGCCCCATAAAAATAAATAAATCAAAGAAGAGGAGCACGTGACGTTATCAGGAAAAAGGGGTGGGGAGATATGGGAGGAGTTGGAGGGGAGGGAGTAGACGTAGATTTGATCAAAACACCTTATACTCATGTATGAAATTCTCAACAATTTTTTTAAAGTTAAAAAAATAAGCCAGGTGTGGTGGCGCATGCCTGTAGTCCCAGCACTTGGGAGGCAGAGGCAGGCGGATCTCTGTGAGTTCAAGGCCAGCCTGGTCTACATAGCAAATCCAGGCCAGCTAGGGCTACAGGGAGACCCTGCCTCAAATAGACCAAAAAAAAGAAATAAAAAAGAAATAAAAGATCTGTGACTCTAACCCCAAATCCCTGCTAATTCTAAGAGAGGACTGGCAGTCTGCTACAGTCTGCTCACTCACAGGCGGCCTGTGGTAGCCACCCGGGATCCAGCTCCAATTAATCTTCAGGACAAGCACTTTGTAGCTTGATAAGTATCAGACAAAAACTGTTGTGTTCAGACTCACCAGGCTCCAAGGAAAGTCTATCTAAGGCCACTGGAAAAACAGGCTAGCCAGGCATGGTGCTGCAGGCCTATCATCCCAGCACTTGGCGGAGGGGGGTGGGGGGGAGTATGACACGACACAGGGGGGACATGAATGACATGATGAATGACATGATGATGACACGAGGATGATCACAATGACTGAAGCACTAGAATTAAGAGTTCCAGAGGCTGGAGAGCTGGCTTAGCAGTTAAGATCATTGGTTGCTCTTGCAAAGGACCTGAGTTCCAGAGGATCCGATGCCCTCTTCTGGTATCCGTGGGCATTGCCACAATATGGTATACAATATGGGTGCACTTAACATACTGAGAAAGCAAGAGAGTGAATGCTAGTGAGATATCTCAGTGGGTAAAGGCACTTGCCCATTCCCCCCTCCCCCCACTAGCCTGATGACCTGAGTTCCATCCCCAGGACCTATGTGGTGGAAAGAAGGAGCAAGTTGTTCTCTAACCTAAACATGCTTACTGTGATACAGGTGTGCCTGTGCATGTGCACACATGCGCGCGCACACACGCATGTGCACACACACACATACACAACAAATAAAATGTAATTTTGAGAAAAGAGGGAGAAACAGATACGCAAAGAGAAAAACAGAGACAGAGAGACAAAGAGAGGAAACAGGACGGTACTGAAGGAAGCACCCCACTTAACCCACCCATGCCATTATCTACAAGAACCTAAAGGAAAGATGCAGGAAGTTGGGAAGGGCCTGTCATGCTTTCCTCTTTGTTCCTAGGCAGGCTGCAGAGCTTCAGTTATTCCTGGTCACCAAACAGGGTCCCTAGTTCTGTGTTCTTTTCTTCCACAAAACTAACAACTCCTTCCCTTCCTTCATTCCTTTCTTCTTCTTCCCCTTTCTTCTTCTCTTTCTTCCTCTCTCTGTCTTTCTCTCTCTTTCTTTTTTTTTTTTTTTTTTGAGACAGGGTCTCACTACATAGCCCTGGCAGAAATGGAACTCACTATGTAGACCAGGCTGGCCTCAAACTCACAAGATCTGCCTGCCTCTGCCTCTTGAGTGCTGGGACTAAAAGTGTGTGCCACCATGGCTGGCTTTGCTTTTTGTTTTTCTGAAACAGGGTCTTACTTTATGCAGCCCAGACTACCCTTGAACTGGTAATCCTCCTGCCTCTGCCTCCCGGGTGCTGGAATAACAGGCTTGCACAACCATCCCTGGCTTCTAGAGCTGTTTATGGTAATGCCAACTTGAGGACTTGGTGGCAAGTCACCCCACA